AAATATCAAGAAGCTGTCACTTTTTATTTGACTAAATATTACATAACATTTAAACTTGTTTTCTTATCCAACACTTCTTTTGCCAAGAGACTTCCTTTGGTTGGGAGTAAGTGTTAGAAAATATCTTAAATTTTCATTATGCCGTCAAAAGGCTCTTCAGATAATGTTACGGTTGCAGTATGGCTTGTGTGCATTTAGCGTGTGGCCAATGCACTGAAAGTTATCTCATCAGTGTTCTGCTGTAGGTCAGCGGCTGCTCTGGTTCGTTCAGCGACCATTGTTGTTGCTGATGTACGACTGCTGGTTTAAAAGTGGCCCAGTTTATCAAGCTGTGCTGGCCTGGCCTTTCAGCCTGTCACTTCCATAATTGGACACCATCCATCACATCTACAAACACACACACACCTGCTGAGCTGTGGCTAAAAAGAACACAGTATTCTATTGAGTAAAGAACAACAGTTATGACATAGCTGCCATCCTCCGAACACTTATACAGGTATGTTTCACATGCAGAGACGGTCATCGGCGCAGAATACGAAGATGTGGTTTTGCTAAGCTAAAAGGACGAATGAGTTTCTGACAGGGATGCTAATTGCAACATCCTCCAAACCTTCAAGAGGAGTATTTGTTTCTTTCCAACCAAAACATGAAGAAGTGGAAACTAACAAACCAACCTTCAGGCTTTAAGTTAACTGGTGAAGCCTCTTCCACTAATAAATCCCAGTTAGCTGTTAAAACTGCTGAAATGTGGAGTTAATGTAGAATATAATCTATTCTCAGTAACCATGAAAACAATGGTCACAGGAGTGCATTAAGGATGAACTAAAATGTGTGTGAATGAGTGAATGACTGTGTTGTGAAGCACATTGGGGGGTTGTAGAACCCTTAGAAGGCGCCACACAAACACGGGCCATTTACCATTAAAGCTGCCCTTTGTCAGCCTCTCCCTGGGCAGCCACCTTACCGTGGTGGAGGGGTTTGAGTGTCTCAATGATCCTAGGAGCTAAGTTGTCTGAGGCTTCCTGCCTCTGGTAGGGTCACCCATGGCAAACAGGTCCTAGGTGAGGGATCAGACAAAGAGCAGCCCGAAGACCTCTTATGGTGAATTATATAACTGGAAACCGTGTTCCCTTGCCCGGACGTGGGTCACCGGGCCCCCCCCCCCCCCTCTGGAGCCAGGCCTGGAGGTGGGGCACGTTGGCGAGCGCCTGGTGGCCGGGCTTTCAACAATGGAGCCTTGCCGGGCACTGTCCGAAGAGGAAACGTGGGTCCCCCTTCCCATGGGCTCACCACTCGTGGGATGGGCCAAAGGGGTCGGGTGCAGTGTGTGATGGGTGGTAGTCGAGGGCGGGGACCTTGGCGGTCTGATCCTCGGCTACAGAAGCTGGCTCTTGGCACATGGAATGTCACCTCTCTGGTGGGGAAGGAGCCTGAGTTGGTGTGTAAGGATGAGAGGTTCCGACTAGATATAGTCGAACTCACCTCAACGCATGGCTCTGGCTCTAGAACCAGTTTCCTTGAGAGGGGTTGGACTTTCTACCACTCTGGAGTTGCTCCCACTGAGAGGTGCCAAGCAGGGTTGGGCATACTAGTTGCCCCCCATCTTGGTGCCTGTACATTGGGGTTTGCCCCAGTGAATGAGAGGGTAGCCTCCCTTCACCTACGTGTGGGGGGGACGGGTTCTGACTGTGGTCTGTGCTTATGCACCAAACTACAGTTCAGACTACCCACTCTTTTTGGAGGCCTTGGAGGGGGTGCTGGAGAACGCTCCTTCCGGTGACTCCCTCGTTCTGCTGGGGGACTTTAAAGCTCTCGTGGGCAATGAAAGTGAGACCTGGAGAGGTGTGGTTGGGAGGAACGGCCCCCTGATCTGAATTTGAGTGGTGTTTTGTTATTGGACTTCTGTGCCAGTCATGGATTGTCCATAATGAACACCATGTTCAGACATAAAGGTGTCCATATGTGCTCTTGGCACCAGGATACCTTAGGCCGCAGCTCGTTGATCGACTTTGTTGTTATTTCATCTGACCTGCGGCCGCATGTCTTGGACACTCGGGTGAAGAGAGGGGCGGAACTGTCAACTGACCACTACCTGGTGGTGAGTTGGCTCAGATGGTGGGGGAGGATGCCGGTCAGACCAGGCAGGCCCAAACGTATCGCGAGGGTCTGCTGGGAACGTCTGGCAGAGTCTCTTGTCAGTAGGAGCTTCAATTCCCACCTCCCACAGAACTTCCAAAATGTTCCGGGGGAGGCGAGGGACATTGAGACCGAATGGGCCCTGTTCTGTGCCTCCATTGTTGAGGCGGCCGACCGGAGCTGTGGTCGCAGGATCGTCGGTGCCTGTCGTGGTGGCAACCCCCGAACCTGCTGGTGGACACCGGCGGTTGGGGATGCTGTCAAGCTGAAGAAAGAGTCCTATCAGGCCTTTTTGGCCTGTGGAACCCCAGAGGCAGCTGATGGGTACCGACAGTCCAAGTGGAACACGGCTCGGGTGGTCGCCGAGGCAAAAACTCGGGCATGGGAGGAGTTCGGAGAGACCATGGAGCAAGACTTCCGTACGGCTTCGAGGAGATTCTGGTCCACCATCCGGCGCCTCGGGGGGGGGGGGGGGGGAAGCAGTGCGCTACCAACACTAGCTATAGTGGGGACGGTGTGCTGCTAACCCACTGGACTGGCAGACCGGGGTGGTGGTTCCCTTATTTAAAAAGGGGGGCCGCAGGGTGTATTCCAACTACAGGTGGATCACACTCCTGAGCCTACCTGGTAAGGTCTATTCAGGGGTTCTGGAGAGGAGGGTATGTCGGATTGTTGAGCCTCATATTCAGGAGGAGCAGTGTGGTTTTCGTCCTGGCCGTGGAACACTGGACCAGCTCTGTACCCTTAGGGGGTTCCTGGAGGGTGCATGGGAATTTGCCCAGCCAATCTACTTGTGTTTTGTAGATTTGGAGAAGGCGTTTGACCGTGTCCATCGGGGGGCCCTGTGGGGAGTACTCCAGGAGGATGGGGTACCAGGCCCTTTGATACGGGCTGTTAGATCCCTGTATGACTGGTGTCAGAGCTTGGTCCGCATTGCCGGCAGTAAGTCGGGCTCGTTCCCAGTGAGAGTTGGACTCCGCCAAGGCTGCCCTTTGTCACTGATTCTGTTCATAACCTTTATGGACAGGATTTCTAGGTGCAGCCAAGGTGTGGAGGGCATCCGGTGGATGGTGGTGGCCTGAGGATAAGGTCTCTGCTTCTTGCAGATTATGTGGTCCTGTTGGCTTCATCAGAACGTGATCTTCAGCTTTTGCTGGAGCGGTTCGCAGCCGAGTGTGAAGCAGCTGGGATGAGAATCAGCTCCTCTAAATCTGAGACCATGGTATTGATTCGAAAATGGGTTGAATGCCTTCTCTGGGTCAGGGATGAGGTCCTGCCCCAAGTGGAGGAGTTTAAGTATCTCGGGGTCTTGTTCACGAGTGAGGGAAAACTAGAGCGTGAGATCGATAGGCGGATTGGTGCTGCATCTGCAGTGATGCGGGCGTTGTACCAGTCTGTCGTGATGAAGAGAGAGCTGAGTCAGGAGGCAAAGCTCTCGATGTACCGGTCGATCTACGTTCCTACCCTCACCTATGGTCATGAGCTTTGGGTAGTGACCGAAAGAACGAGATTGCGGGTACAAGCGGCTGAAATGAGTTTTCTCCGAAGAGTGGCTGGGCTCTCCCTTAGAGATAGGGTGAGAAGCTCGGTCATCCGGGAGAGGCTCGGAGTAGAACCGATGTTCCTCCACATCGAGAGGAGCCAGTTGAGGTGTCTCGGGCATCTGGTCAGGATGCTTCCTGGACACCTCCCTGGTGAGGTTTTCCGGGCACGTCCAACTGGGAGGAGATCTAAAGGTAGACCCAGGACACGGTGGGCCATTCCCATCTGTACCGGGTCGGCCCGGGCCGGGTAGCCCCAGTCGGCCCCAGCCTGGCTCGGTTGATTCCACGCATCCTTGCCTTAAGCCCATGTGGGCTGATTCTACCCACCAATCAGAGGCTTGCTCTAATGGAAGGTGTGAATTTGCTGTCAGCAGTGGGTGTGTTGGCCCTGGTCGGCCTGATGCAGACCCCCTCGAGAAGAGGGCTGAGAATGAGCCTTGGTTGGCCCGGAAAAATACCAGGCCACCCAGATATGTAAACAACCTACTCTACCCGGCTCGGGCCGATCCGGTACAGATAGGAATGGCCCATAAGTCTCTCACCTGGCCAGGGAACGCCTTGGGATTCCCCCGGAGGAACTGGCCCAAGTGGCTGACGAGAGGGAAGTCTGGGCATCTCGCCTTAGGCTACAGCCCCCGCGACCCGACTCGGGATAAGCGGATGAAAATGGATGGATGGATGGAAAAAGTAAATAAAGAATAAATAAAACACTGAATTAGAAACCTGAGAAGAATATCTTGTACTATTCTTATAAATGAATACAATTCTCCTAGTTGATGCGTTTGCTGCAGAAGTGTGTCGGACCTGGTTACACTTGTTGTTTAAATGAAAGTTGGTCTGACTTGAAGAGCTATAAATCACAATTAGAAGCTGTTCAGCATATTAACACCTGACTGGTTCGAGCAGGCTTTGGTCTCGTTTCAGCCTGAATGCCTCCTAATCCACAAAGACACAAACAAGACGCGCTTATCCACTCCATTCACAAAGTCCTTCATAGTTATTTAAGTCACTTTGCCATTGTTCATATACAAATCCATCCCTCTTGTGTCTCTTTCTTCCTCTTCATCCCCATTTTTCCTGTGGTCGTTTTTGCTAATCTCCATTTTTTAACCGTTTATTATTTTCCTTGTTTTTCCTCCCCCCTCACCTTTTTCTGTCTTTTGCTCTCTTTACTCAACCACATCCCCTCTGTTCTCTGATCTTATTTTCACCAGCAGACAGATGTCCCTGTATCTTAACCCCACCTTTAGACCTCGATGAACACAGCGGCAAAACCACAACACTAATTGTTGCATTCACGTTTACTTCTTTCTTTCTCAGGTTGATCAAATGCAGCAGGATCCTGCCAGTGGTCTTCCAGCTCATTGTGGTGAGAACCCATCCCTACTTCTGTTGATGTTAGTCAGCTGATGCAAAACCGTTATCCGGTCCCTACTGCCTTGCTGTGTTCTGTAGCAGTCCGCTCACCTCTTCTCTCAATCACTCCATCTCTGACCTTTATGTAAATCCATCTGTTGCCCTGTTAGGGGGCCGGTGTAGTCGTCTGACATGTCAGCGTTGTGAAGGAGTAAGGTTAATAGAGTGGGAACACATGACCTTCTGCTCAAACACAGGCAGCATTTGTCTGCTATCAGTAAAGAATAACAACCTTCCCAGCAAACATTTATTCCACCTGACCCTTTCTGCTAATGCAACATGCTTCCAGAGAACCAACTTACACACACACACACACACACACACACACACACACACACACACACACACACACACACACACACACACACACACACACACACACACACACACACACACACACTTAAAATGAGTGTTCTACATGGCTGTCTTCACCACCAGCTCATGCAGAATTTTTAAACCCTGTTATCCAACAGCCTGATTAACTCGTCTCCTGAGTGTTTACTCCTGTCTGAACCACTCATGTCTGGGTCCATTAGTGCTGTCTGTGTTGCTCACCTTTGGATTGATTTATGCTGCCTGAAATCCTCTGATCTAGACAGAGTACACCTGTCACTGGTGATCACACTTGTCATGGAGAAACTCACCTAATTGTATTTGTCTAGATGATGAAGTAGTTCTGCTTCAGACATTAAAGGAGCTCAGGATGCTGGCTAGAACCGGTATGTTAACGGTTTGGCTGCTGTGTTTTTCACTTACAGGCGAACAATTTTTCAGAGAATAAGTGAATCTGTACACACATGCAACATGAATGCTGTGGGAGCAGAGCTGCAGGGTTGAAGTTAAACTAGAGCTTTCAGCTGTTTTAAGTGAATGTGTTGGTTTCTGTAGTGCAAAGATCAAAATCCATTAGTGATCAGTTGTTTTGGAAAGGCAGTTAGACGAAAGTGTGAGCTGGTGTCATTGCCTTCAGCCCGAGGCAGGCGAACATGATGAGTACAAGCCAGACTTATCAGCCGTACACAGATCACACCGATGTGTGCAGACCCTGGAGGCACAGCTGGCGTATCTTAGAGAGGATTAAACAGTAAAACTGGGACGGGAGGCACAGGCAGGAGTCTAAACTGTAAAAGGAAGGACGGTAGGTTCTGTTCAAACGAGAAGTTTAAAAACGTGATGGAAGAAAATGAAGGTGCAGAAGAAAACAGGAGAACAAAGAAAGTAAAAGTTCCTTAAAGCTGCATCTTTCTCCGGGACGTCCTGTTGAAGAGGGGAATCTGTTCTCATACTAAATGTCTTCATTATTACAAAATGTTTTACACAAATATCAGAATGTATGCTATGTACTGAGACGTCGGTCGCTCAGGTGAACAAAAGCATGAAGACTGGCTGAATAGAAGAGAACATTTTTATTTCAGCTCACCTGTAACCTGCTTCTCTTTATCTAGACTAACAACATCTCCAGTGGAGTGGTCCAGCATGCAGTTGTCCTGCTGTGTAATCTTTGTGAAGACATAGTGTTAGATCAGCATCTTTACCAGAAAGGTATGTCTACTGTCCACACACAGCTGCACAGGTGTCTTAATAATTTGGGACTGTTAATAATTGATTTGAACCTTTAATTCTTCTATGAGTTTAAAGAGAAAAGCATTTGGTGCAAAAGTTTGAATATGTTGTGGATTTTATCTTTTCCGAACAGACACACTACAGCCCCACAAAAATTTGGTTGGGTGTCCCCAATGATGTGTTTTTGTGTTCATCAGTAAACTTCTGGCTGTAGGTTTGACCACTCTTCTTATCAGAATTAGTAGCATCCCTTTAGAAAGGTTGGTTTTCTGATACAGGCGGGGCTTTTATGCACAAATACCTTACACTGTAGGTGCTTTGAGAGGGCCCTTCCAAAGGCTTATTGTTAGCTTTTTGTTAGCATGATCTAACCAATCAGAAACCAGCTTTGGTGGTTGAGGGGGATCATTTTTCTCTTGGTGCACTCAACTGTCCAGGCTTCAACCATCTAGCTGATGAATTTAAGGAAATTGAAGGCAGGTATTCCATCCACTGTGTGCACATGATGCTACCACCTCCATGCTTTACAGCTGCTACTGTGTTCTTAGCTTTTAAAGGTCAACTTCACTGAAAAAACATTTTTAATTATCTTTTCTGATTCTAACGGGTCACTCTAGGTGTTTCATCCAGGCTGAACATGAAAATAGTCTCCTACACCTAGCATTAGCATTAGCTTCTGATAAAAAACAGACGGTGAAACTCTAGGATTAGAAGATCCTGACAGATCTACGTCACACTGTCACCAACATTCATGGACTCACCCATCTTGGCTCATGATGGGGAAGGCTGCTGTTGGTTTAGCGTCCAGGAAACAGCAGAGAACTTCTCTGCTAGTAGAAGCTAACCATTAGCATTAGCAACTCCACCACACAGCAGAACTCTTCCAGGCTTGTGTTATTTGTGGTGATAAAACATCAGCGTTGCAGAGCAGACAGAGTCAGTGTTAGAGTGTTGTTGCTGTTAGCCAAGCAGAGGAGAGATGTCCACATATCAGGAAGTGAGACTAAATCCAGTCGTCTGAAGCTCAACTCTGATCTGGCTCACCTATAGTTCCTGAAACAGGTTTACCAGAGCTTTCCCCCCGGAATACGACTCACTCGCCAGTAAGACACCGCAAATGTATTATAAATGTAGAGAAACTGAACTTCGTCTCTGAAACCAGATTTTCTCCACAAGTACCAGCGTGTCCATGTGGAAAACTGTGTTTGTAGGTGTCCTCTTTGGAAGAGTAACTTTTTTTTTTATCTTCACCCTCTCACGCATGGTGATATAAAACTTGATGGGGCTGGGTTGGGGGGCATTACATGACATTCTACCTCATTTCAGCAAAAATTATTTAGAAATCATGAATGGATCCAACCCCCTCTACTAAAATAAATAAACGAGCGTGAACTGATGTCCTTTCCTGGTGCCCCATGGAGAGGCTGTCAAACCCATGCTCCGTCATTTCTGTGGGTACTTCTCTTTTCCCTGGGTGGGTCACAGTTAGAAGACTGGTTACGTATGTACAAAACGGAGTTCTGCAAAGAAGCAGCTCAGAGAAAAACATGGCGATAAGCTATTCTCTCATCTTTCCCTCTGTGAGCTCATCCCCCTTCCCTCTATTTCCAGTGGGTCAGCAGAGCAGCAGTTCACTTGTCAGCATCATTATCATTCAATCAGCTTCCCTACCAACAGGGACCTGTCAGCCCAGCACTAATACTGGTCTGACAATTAACACCATCTCTTCTTCTTTTCTGTTTTGTGTCATTTTAGTATTTTCTATAAATTATATTCTTTCTGTTTTCATTATCTTCTGCTTTTCCAGTTTACCCAGCTCACAGTTGTCCCATCCTCGCCTCATCTTCCCATTTCCTGTTTTCTACTTCAGCTCGTCATCTCCTCTCTCCCTTGTTTTCAAAGTGGTTCACTCCACATGATCGTGGTGCTGTGAGGGAAGAGGAGAAAAGGAGAGGGAGATGAGGAGAGGAGAGGAAAAGGGAGGAAGTGTGCATAATTGGTTTTTTAAGGTGTGACAGAGAGAGAAGGGAAATGGTGGCTCAGTGTGTGTGTGTGTGTGTGTGTGTGTGTGTGTGTGTGTGTGTGTGTGTGTGTGTGTGTGTGTGTGTGTGTGTGTGTGTGTGTGTATGTGTGTGTGTGTGTGGTTTATAATTGGGCAGATTTGCCTTTGACTGAAATAATACCCCCTGGGGAATGAAGGCAGGGATAGGACAGAAGAAGGGAACAAGAAACGGAAGATGGCAATAATAAAACAACAAGAGGAGAAGGGGTAGACGAGGAAGCCAAAAATGTAAAAGGAGGAGCATAAAGGTGACAGCAGGGAGAAAACGATACACAGAGAGAACATTGATTCCATTTAGGTGGGAGACAATTGGGAGGACTGAGATTATAAAGAGAGAATTAGAGGTGAAAATGAGTGACAGCAGGGGCAGGACAACTTTATTCCAGAGTACAAAATCATTCCTAAACACTTTTAAAACCGTTTATGTGGCCGTAGATTACTCCATTGTAATATGAGGTGAGAATGTTTGAGCTAATCTGATTTTATGAGGATAAGGAGCTCTGAGAGAATATGAGACCTATTTTTCAGACTCGTCGATAAGCAGACGAAGTGATTTAATGAGGAAATGATCACATCAAGGGCAGCAGAACTTCACCCCAATGAGAAGTACCCTGAGGTTTGAGGAAACTAAAATAAGGCTTTTCTTTAACCTTCTCAGGCTCTAAATAAGTTTTGATAAAAGGACAAACCACTAAGTCCTTCAGGGGTACTTCTGAGTTAAAAAATGCTCATGAAATACGTATTTGGAGTAACCAGGTAGGTAGGTTTTAACGTTGCAAATCTGCAACGCCTGCCTCCAGAGGGTTAATTAATGTTGAGTCCAAAGTGGTTTTTATTATTTCTTCTGTGCAAAACTCAGCAGCATTTGTGCCTGAAAGCATCTGCTCAGATGATATTTAGCATTTGTGGGTTTTCAAACAAAAGCTGCTGTTTAAAATGTAATTTCTTCAAAGATGTTTCAGCATTTTCTTAAAAGCTTCTTCCACATGTTCACCAAATCAGTAAGAATGCTCTTTAACATCATTTCTACCAATGAAATCTGTCTTCCATACTAATGATTAATATCGGGCAAGCCCCATGAGTTCTTTGTATTGATTGTTTTCAATAGTCGAAATCAATTCAAGTAAAAGATATTTGACAGTGTTCTTTACTGCTGCTGGTTTGGATTTATACATATTTGTAAGGAAAATAGTATTTAAGTACATCTAAATGACATCTAGCTGTTCGTATGTCTAGGCTAAAATGCTCTGAAAGAGGATTTGATGATGTTTTTAACAGAGTTTTACTAAAACAACACATTAGTCTAAAGTTAAGCACAGAGCTGAGTTTTGGCTTTTTAGTACTTATAGCTGCCCGACATTCTGCTGCTGCTGCGTTTAAATCTTTCATTTCCTAAAAGCACCGCCAACTAACTTCTTCAAAAATGTTTTTAGCTGCTTAAAGCTGATGTACGGAAAATTATTTACTGTTTCTTAATGTCGGGTACTTTTCCTAAATCATTGAAAACTGCTGCTGTTAAACCCCTTCTAAAGAAAATGAAACTAGATCCCTTAGTGATGAATAACTACAGACCAATCTCTAAATGGATGAAAAAGCAGTTATGATCCAGCTGAACAACTTTTTAGAGACAAAGGATTCCCTAATTGTGGTGCGCGCACCCCTGGGGGTGCACGAGCTGCCGCTAGGGGGTGCGCGAGGTGAAAAGTGTAATGGCTGCGGGAGCTCAGAGCAAGTCTGTCACATGTCACAGACGCAATCCAGTGAAACCACGGCCAATGGGTGCAGAAGAGCGCATGCTGGAGTGAGTGATTTAAGACATTTGGCTGAAATAGCACCTAACGAGAAGCCCTGACAAAAGCATCCTCTGCTCTGCCTTTCATGGAGTTGCGCCGCGGTGATTCAGACAGAGCGCCAACTCCTCTGCACCGTCCATGGGCGGCGCCAGGCGGTAGCTAGGGGTTGCTAAATCGACCCCAAGATTGGGACAAGCAACGGGTTCTTGTATCCATGATAATGTCCGGTTTTTCATCCAGAAGCAGGAGGGATCAAATAATGGGGGAGCGTTGGTGCGCTCCAGGCAGCTGCGTTCTGCGCAAGGCACATGCTCAAAGTGGCGCAACCAAAAAACTATAATTAACACACTACGGTTCATGTCCTTTTATATCCTCTGGTATTCTGTCTTTTAATCGTGCCTGATGCGCTCGCTCATCATGTGCTGCACTGATTTCACCTCACTGACGCAGCATCGAAACGTGCGCTCTGCTTTGCGGTCAGAAGATCCCTTTGATCTGCTCAAAAGTAACTGATGAGGTAAAAAAGTAAGAATCCAAGCAGCAGTTTTCTGGAGAGTTTAGAGGAGATGCAGGAAGATGAGAGACAGACAGGACAGGAAAATAGTCACATGAAAACAAGAAAACAAAGCTTGAAAGTAAAATGTAGGTAGATTTATCTCCACCACGTGTTTTTACCTGTATAAAACAATAAGTTATACAAATGTCATATTTATACATCTGATACAATTCAGATCACCTTCAAAACTCAGTCACACACCCAGGGCCGTTTCAAGGCATTTTGGGGGCCAAGGCCAAACAGACCCCCCCCCCCCCCCCCCCCCCTATAACTGGGCTCCCATACAAGCCTCTGTGTAATTCATACCCTGTCCAGGAGTATTAAGTATACATTGTTTGTAAAAACATCTCAGACATTATGGACATGTTCTAATATTGTCAGATGAAAAACTAAATTGTCAGACACGCCGTTTCATCTGCTTCTTTTCTAAACTCACAAAAACATGTCAGTAACAAAACCGATTTGTCTTTTTGTGAATTCTCTTGACGTTTCCATGGAGTCTGTGACAAACGCTCTTTTTCATTGATCCTATCGACTAATCTCACAGCTCAAACAATGCATTCTTAAT